GAATGTGGTCCAAATCCAAATGCTTTGCATTAGGCCTTCGGCCTAAAAGAATGTTTATGATTCACATACAATCTTTCTTTAAAAAAAAAATTTATGACTTAAGTAAATTGGTGAAGCACGAAAATTAAAACTAAAAATAAAACAACACTAAGATGATAAAAGGGTATCTCGCTGATCAGGTGTTGTCTCCCATATCATGACTGAACAGCTAAAAATTTATTCCATTCTTTATTATATTAGCGAGATTAAAGCCGTGTGGATAAATCTAAAACAAATTGGAAAAGGAACCCGTAGGTGTGCCGCAGACTTTTGAGCCAAAAGGGAGCGGAATCCTCGCCCTTTGGATTGCGTGTGAAGTCAATTTTTTAACAATCAGAAAGCAAAATGAGTTTTTTTTTTTTTCTTTTTATATAATAATTCAATGGAGATTAGATTAGAGAGTGAAGGAGCCGACTGGCGACTGCCGAGGGAGCGTTTTTAAGTAATTTTAACAGTAGGACTCTTGCTTCTCAGGTCTCATCTTCCGCCGTTCTACGTAATCATTCTTTTTTATGTTTTTGATTTTCATGTCTCTTTTGGCTTTGTGTGCACATCACTACACCACCATTTTTCTCTAATAATCTTCTTTCCTCTCTTCTCCTCTCAAGTAAGTAAATCGAATTTCTTTTACTCTTTTGGCAGTTTTCTTAATCGAATTTTTTTCTTCCCCGATTGCAGGTAAGCTTTTTCAAATTTTTCTTATTTTCATTACAATTTGTTGAGGATTAATCTAAGTTCGCTTTTAGTCTAACGGAGATTGTATGCATGATTTTGCATCGGCAGTATTCAGTAATGGTTAGTGAAATCGTTGGTGGATCAGAGCTGATAGGGAGCTTCCCTTCTCCATTTTTGTCTATTAATTATAGTCATTTTCGTAATACATCGCAATAACTGGCTGTTTATTTGGGGATGGACTGATTGCTTGCCATGGAAATGGATCGAGAATCTGGAAAATTGGAACGCATTTTTTCTCAATTTTGTTCCAAGATCTTGCACGCTATTTTGGAATCCAGGATCCCTTCTCTTCACCACCACCACCAACAACAGCAACAACAAGAATCGCTTTCTCTTTCTCGGGTGAGAAAGACCGACAAATGGTTCAATTTAGTGTTAGGAGACCGCCCCATGGCTCCGGAGAATATCTTTTTCTCCCATAGACACCTCTTGGATCCAATGATAATCGACATAATTCTCGTTCATCAGGGTTCTTGTTCCTCATCAGTGGACGGTCTTTATACTCCAGCTGCAGCTGCGGGACCTTCTACCGAGACTGTTATAGAAAGATGGGTTGTTCAATATGATTGCCCTCGGGTTATTGCTACTCCAAGTGGTTCTGATACTTCTGGTTCTTTTAAGAAGACTTACAAGAAGTCCATCATACTTTTGCGATCTCTATATGCGCAAATGAGGCTTCTCCCTGCGTATAGAATCTTTCGGCAGCTAAGTTCCTTGAGCCAGACATATAATTTCGAACTTGTTTACAAGGTTTCATCATTTAGTCATCCATTCTCTAGGGAAGAGGAGTATGTAATGAAAGAATATAGTTTTGTTCCTGTCGAGGCTCTTCCTGGTCACCTATGTGTGTCAGTGACTTACCGTACGTCTCTATCTGATTTCAACCTTGAGCCTTTGGTATCTTTGTCACCAAAGATTATAGCAGACTATGTTGGTAGCCCTACCACGGTCCCTGTGAGATCCTTTTCTTCATTGGAGAAGGGTGTTCGTGCTACCTCTTTTCCATTAAGAGGAGTGCGACCTCCATCTCCAGCTCCATTTCCACGTCCAAACAGCTGGTCTAGTGGTATTCACAGAGGATTCCCTTTTACACAAAATCAATCCCTTGCAGGATCTCCACCTGCTTATTGTACATCTCCCATGCCATATGATATTGCATCTTCACCTTCTGATATGCATGGTAATAGAATTCAAAATCATGGACTGTCAACTTTACAACAGTTTACTGCTTGTGATGAATATCAGCTGTCACCCACATTCTCATCATTTGCTTCCCCATCAACTCCATCATACTTAACTGGTGCTAATCCTTTACTTACTCATCATTGTTCCGAGACTGCCCCTGTAACCATTCCACTTCCTAACTCTTCTGATCCAAGTAGGCATTCTCTTCCCCCTCTGTCTCCCAGAAGCTCAAAGCATGATGGTTCATCTCAGGAATCTCCCTCTAGGATTCGGTTATACAAGAAAATAGAAGCTGTAAGGGCTGGAGAGTCTTCTTCTGGCTTATCAAATCATTATTCCGCACAGAAGGTAGTCTTAAATTTCCGTTTTTGCTATTTGAAAGTTTTACCCTCCTATAAAACCTGTTATCTTTATTTATGTGCCAGCTGATAATGCCAATACTCATTTGTTTTATAGGTGGTAAGAGATAGTAAAGATGACTCAGGCCGATTCTCTGGATTGTTATCTTCTAGTGAATCACCTCGTATCGGATTCTCTAGAAGCTCTAGTAGATTATCTTTCCTGGATGACATGGATGATTGTGAATTCTCTTGCCCTTTTGATGTTGATGCATCTGATTCCCTGGCCAGGTACATCGTTTTTTTTTTTTTTTTTAATCTATTTCTTTGTGGCTATGCCTGTATTTTTTTTCTTTTTAATCTATTTCTTAGTCTCGATGCTTGTATTACATTCCTTGCTGAAGAAATATCTAGTATTGGTTTTGATGCCTGTTAGTTACTTAATTGGTTATCTTTGAAGCACTCCTTGTGTGAAAAGTGCTTAATGATATAAAAGACTAATCCTGAACTGGTATTTTGAGGGTGCATTCATTCAGTTTGTCTTATTTTGTCTCAAGTCTATTTTACATACATTACATCTCAATTTTATTTGTATCTTCTCATGGAGGTAACCACAAGGCAAAACTATTAGATGCTTAGGTCGAGTAATTTTATATCCTTGTTTCTGAGCTGAGAATATGATATTAGTTAAGATCAAGATTTTGTTTCTAAAGCATGGATAAAGGAAGTAGAAAGAAGAAAACTAAAAGTATACAAATAGCTTAAGATTCAGAAGCTATGAGCCAGGTTAATAGTTGGCACCTATGTCATTTATGTCATAAGAACGAAGAACCCAAAGAGAGTAATGGAAACAAGGAAAGTTTCTCTCTAGAATAGTGCTGTTTTTCAGTACAAAGCCTTGTGTCAAAATTTTTTTTTATATGGAATCAGAGTCTGCATTCGTATACACGTCTTCTCCTTTACTTGCTTTTACTGATTAAAATCAATTTATTATGGGACTTTTCCTATTCTTGAGTCTACCTTAATGGTTGTCTGTTGTTAGGGTTTGATTTATATAATGGTATGATAGTTGTCTCTTTCAGCTTCCATTTAATATGTTTATTTCTATGCCTGCAATGTGGGGTTTACAGTCAGAACGTAGAGGGGGAAAAAGCTTTAGAATTCACTGCGCAGTCACTTCCAATTGGTAAAAAGTCACAAGATGCCGCTGTTGGTATTCTTGTTCACATGCTTAGAACAGCACCTCGTCTGCACCAAGATCCAAGTTGTTATTCAACTCACTCGTTAAGGACTGAATATGAGGGAGGTCTTGGTATTGCTTCTGGATTTTTTATGCAACATACAATAGCAGATGCACTCGAAGAGCTCAAGAGCCACAGAGAAATGAAGGATCTAATACTATCTAATACTATCTAAGAGTGGAACTAGGGTGGTTCGGAAAGAGGAAATGTAGTTGCTCTATCGGTGGAAGGAGGGGGGTGGCGGTTGTAAATGATTATATGGCTGTCAACTGGTGCTAAATATAGCAGCAGCTGATGCATTTTAGGTTAAAACAGAACATATTTCTTTTAAGAGGGGATTAACAGATTATGTAAATATCTTGAATGAACATTGGTTACAATCACTGAATTTTTTACATTGAAATTTACTTATAAAACCGACTCCGACCCGTTTAGAAATGCTAACCGAAAACATGCAAACATACAAATTCCACCAATAAAAGATGAGTACAGATTTTGGTCCCCTGTCATCCTTCACAAAGCCTATGACTAACTGCATAGGGCATAGGGCATAGGGCATAGGGCATAGGGCCAAGATCATTAATTAAACTTAGACTACTAAATTGACTTTGTAACGCAAGAACCAAAAACCAACATTTCATGAACACGTTTAATGTTCATCTCTATTTCTACAAACCGAACATAGTCAAGTCAGTTCGGGTCAAGGTAACAAGAATACAAGATACCATTTGAAGCGCCTCTATTTACCTAGTCTGCTGCTGTTGATCAGCTGGTAGCCTTCCTTTAATTGAAGCGACTCTTCCAACAGTTAGTTCTGAGGTTTGTTGGATGGGTTTGGGAATTGAGAAAGAGAAACAAAAATTGTTAAATCTTTTGAGAGAGGGAGGCGGCAGGGAATTTGATTCTCGAGAGTCGAGACTGAGAGAAGCGGAAGTGGAGAAGAAAGACAAGACTAAAAAATATTATATACATATTAGAAGTGCATTTTGTTAAATATATAGAGTCGGTAAGATTTATTTAAATTTATTTTTGATTTGAGTTATTTTTAAAAAAATTAAAATCAATTCAATCTTATAAATTCAAATCAAATCGAAATATGACAATTGCGATTTAAAATTCGACTACATGTACAATTACTAGAGTTGCAGAAATATTCACAAAATTCATAATTTAATTTAATTTTTAAAAATAATATTTAATAAATTTATAATCTACCTAACAACAATAATTTTTTTGCTTTTATCTTTATATTAAAATATTTTTATTAAAAAAGAGACAGAAACCGTGTAAAACTTTTGACTTTAAAATCTTTTTATACTAAATTAACTACTTCCATATGGTTATCTGCCAATCAAGTGACGATAAAATGGAGATAAAAGTAAATAAATAATAGTAATAATCTCGGGCTTTGCCCATCTACTCTTAGTTAGACAATATCACGCACAATAACATACTTTATTGATAGTACACATGGAAAGTTAAAAATCATCAAAGCCAGACATAATTAAACCAAACCCGCAAATCCCAACACATTAATGTCAAAAAAACCAAACAAAATAGAGAAAAGTAAGCACACCATTATACAACGAAACTGTCGGGCATGGACTTATGGTCACATCGCCCATTATTCTCCAAAGCTATCTTATCCTTACCCCACACAATCAAACGACAATACATGGTTTCATAGATGGTGACATTAGAAGAAGAAAAAGTGGACGAAAAGCATCTAATTTTCCCCCCTTTCAATAACGATATGATTGGTGGGCTCCAAAGCTAGCGTCGAAAACTCCTGACCTGCCGTGGTGCTTCAACATCTTCCTCGCGGAGCTTCACCAAAGTGTAAGTGCCTGCACCAGCCAAGGCACCCAGTGTGGGTGCTATCAAGTAAATCCACAATGCCTTGTAATTTCCTGCTGCCACAGCCGGCCCCAACGTCCTCACTGGATTCATTGATCCTCCACTACTTCGCCTGTAAACAAGGTCAAACAAAAAAAAAATTTTATCACCCATTATTGTCATTTTGATTGTTTCTTAGCTACTTTTTTTTGAATGACACCTAAATCCGACTTAGTCTTTCTATCAAATGTCTTTGCTGTCAGTGTCGACCTTCGACTACTTGCTTTATCTTTAATTTTGGGTTATATTTTATAATAATTTATATTTAATACATTATTTGTGTGTTTATGTTATGTATAGTCAATTAATCATTTAATATATCATAAAAAATTAATTTTAAAATTTAAAAATAAAAATATTTTAATTTTAAAAATATATTTAAAATTAATTATTTATGAGACACCTTTCAGTGTTAATACATAACATCTATATGTTAACACTAGTGTATCAAATAGAAATAAAATTTGTAAAGTTAAAATAATATAAAAATCTTGAATTTTATTATTTTACCTAAATAATCTCTAAACTTTTATTACAATCAAATAAATCCTAAATTTTAATTTACATTCAAATAAATCATTAACTTTTAATTTATATTAAAAAAACTCTTAATTTTTAATTTATATTTAAATAAATCTTTAATATAAATTAATTTTTTCTTTAAAATAAAAATTTATTTGAATACAAATTAAAAAATAAAAATTTACTTGAATATAATAAAAATATACAAACTTATTTTTAAAAAATAAGTAATTCATGAATTTTTTAATATTTTAGCCAATGTAATACTACCTCATTTATTATAATTACATTAGAGATTAGATTAGAATAGATTAGAGATGGCAAGTTGCAACCGACCTCAAGCATCACAAATCACAAATAACAGAAGAGAGGACGACACCATTAAAAGTGTTATATATACTATACATATTGAATCACAAAAGAAAAAGAATTAAAACATGGTAGCATGAAGTAGGAATTTAATAAGAGGATAGAAAGAAAAGCAAACAAGTACTAACCCAGCCACAAGAATGTTAAGCATGACTGTTGCTCCAACCGCTATTCCCGCCAGCTCTCCAACCTGTCCAAGGTAATAACGATATTATTATTTGTTTGCTAAATCCTTATTGAAATAAATTTATATTGTCTAATAATTTTATTGTTTGTTAGCAAAAATATAGATTTTTTATTTTTATTGATTAGAATTCAATTTGCCATTGAAACTCAGCAACGAGAATGTACCGCACGGGTGTCAGTGGCAACAGCGGTGACGACGAAGAGAAGATTAAAAGTAATAAGGAACTCGAGTGCAAAAGCTTGTCCATAATTGACGGAAGGGACAGTGACGCCACCAGACATGAAGGGATGAAAGACACCCTTGAGAGCGAAAGAAGCACAAATGGAGGCCGAAACCTGAGCTGTTATGTAGGCTGGAACCTGAGCCCATGGGAAGTGACGACAAGCAGCAAATGCAATGGTGAGGGACGGGTTAAGATGAGCCCCAGAGATGTGTCCGGTCGATAAAATTATTATCATCACGGCCAGCCCTGCACATGCCGCATTTCCTATCAGTGTCTCCACTCCCGAATACTTTTCGTTCACTATGGGTCCCGCTGTAGCCGCAAATATTAGGATAAAGGTTCCCACAAATTCTGCTCCAAGCTGCATAAATAATCCAGACCATTGAAACTTCTACTGGTACTCATGTTTCAAAACATACACGGCTTTTGATCAGTTCCTACAGCTGGTTCTTATGGAAGCGATTCAGACCTCTCTCGAAAACGTATACAATAATTATACATATGCCTAATTACCGTTTATTTATCTTACTTAATTAGATCAAACGAGTTCAGGACTTCCTCCAACTCTTATGAGTTGTGCCCCCCCCCCCCCCCCATAGGCCAAACTAAGAGCCGGTGGAATAAATGTAAACCCTAGTTTGCTGGGTAGTTAACCATATATATCTTTGCTTTTTCCACAATTCTAAGTGGAAGAAGGCTTCCAAGTGTTTGAGAATCAAAAAAGTCAAATGTCTACTACTCTTCCCATACAATTATCAACCAACTTTGCAGAACTATTGTGCAGCTGTTTAAGTGTGAAAGGCTCAGTGGAGTACTTCCTATATATGGTTCCATTTTTTTTTATTACTGGATTTAATTATTCCAAAAGAAAGGAATAGGGGGTCTGTAATAGCCCATAATTTCCTTTGAAAAAAATGAAGAAATAAGTGCGATCATATACCTACTATCTACACAAACAAGTCAGAGATGGGCTTTCGGTGGATATAAAAATAAGTGGAAGCCGTTAGTTGAAGATTTATTTACTGATATCTAGGCACATAAAGGGGGCTAAATCTAAATGAACCGGTTCCAATCTGACTTTTCTTTTTTTGCCCAAAAATATACTCGACTTATACCATTGGCTATAACATTTGATAGTACTTTTTCCAGAGCTAATTACAAAAAAAATCCCAGCCTGTTACTGCTACAGCTACTGCTAATGCTACTGCATTATTATAATTTTTATATCACATAAAAGACGTATCATTACTGACTAATGATTCTGCCAGAAAACCTATATCTCAAGTGGGGTCCCTGCTGTTGCAGAGGCTTTGGCGCGTATAGCAACTGAAGGCCAAGCAGTACCCATGCTATTTGACGTAATACTCTCCTAATTCTAGTAATAAATTACCGTTTAATACGACCAGAAATTAATTAATAAAGAATCTGATCAACTGGGAGACAAAGAGGCAGAGAGAGAGAGAGGGGTGGCACCTTGCGGGTTAGAGAGACGTCAGGTGCAGGGAAGTCGGTGAAGCATGTGTGAGGTTGACCCCACGTTGGTGCAGTCACTGGAAAGCATTTGCATCGTGGCATTGACTTCCGATCATATGACAGCGAGTCCACCCTCATGGACGTGAACAGCGGCCCACCTGGCGTTCCTGGAGTTGCCGGTGCCGACGCCGTTGGGGTTGCAGTCTCCTCGTCAGGCATTTCTGATTTTCAAAAAAAAAATTTTCCTTTTTTGTGGAACAATAATAAGGAACAGACTTTTTTTTTTTTGGTTTTTTTAGACTTGGTGGTAGCTGGGAAGATAGAGACGACTGTTACATGATTTGGAAGCTTTTATAAAGGTGTTTCTACACGGTTGTTTTACTCTTCGCCACGATCAGTAACAATCAAGAGCAACGATATTTGACAAATTCTATGGAAACATTATACCACAACTACTGATACTAAACCTTTTTTTTTTGTTTTTTTTGGATTGATAATTGAAGAGAAGGAAACACACCAAATTACATGCTGTGCAGGCTTTTATAAATGTTTGGCTAAGGAATAGAAGGTACGATGGTAGCCAGATTACAAACTACTACAATTAACTAGATAAATAAAGCTTCAACTACTTGCATAGGAAATCCGACAAAAACTCTTTTTTGGTGTTTCTTGGAATAGGAGTTGAACTAAGAAAGGCAAAACTTACATGCTTGAAATGTTTTTATAAAGGTATAGTCAAGGAATAAGAGTGAAACCGAACCGACCCAGCTTCAAAATCAAAGAGGAAACAAAGCCGAAAAAGAGCAAATCAGGCGCTTAGTTGCTGATGGAAGAAGAAAAAGTAGAACAACGTGAAAAAAAGAGCTTCGAGATTACAAATATCAAGAAAACTATAACGCATATGATCAAGATGACGATGGACACATGGACGAAAGCATTGGTGCAAATGCTATAAGTTCAAAGTTAAGTAAGTGATTGAATAAATGCTCCGCGTATATATAACACAAATTGAGGCTAGGGTGACCCCATATTTTTATAACAGAAAAGTCAATGCACAACCATCACTCTTGAGTTTCAAGGCCGACTACTATTTGCTAGAGTCACCGCTACCTTCAAGTCACAAACCACGTGGCCACCGTTGGATCATCAGAGTGAAACTAGATCTAATGTCAAATTAAGTGATTAACTAAAAAGTCAATGGCAACATCCCATCATGTTGACAACTCTTTTTATATAACAATTGAGTGCTAAAGTGACTGTAGCAATAGCTCACAGCCGTTGGAAGAACCGTGTGATTTTGGGTTTTGATTGATGGTTTGTGTGCTAGTGCTATCTTCCCCGCTGGGATGAAGGAAGACCCCACATGCACTGTCACCACATCATTTTCCTTTTATTATTATATATTACATTTTTACGCTACCCGCCCAATAATGTAATAAACAACCATCTCCAAGCCACCCACCTTCAAAGAAAGAAACAAAACAGATAAAATAATAAAAGAAAGAATATTTAAATGAACTTTATTAAAGCCTACGCCTCAATCATCTTCATCTTCATCATGCTATATGTTTGCCCTTTGCCTTCGTTTTTGTTTCTTAAAATACTGAGCTGTTCTGTTCATTTAGCCGTGATGGTAATATACAAATTTCAAGTAAAGCCGCTAAAGTTAATCTGAATTTGAAAAAGTCACTTAAAAATTTAATATTTCGAATAATTCAAGTATGATTCGATATAAAACCAAATAACTCGATTCATTCAACTACAGCGTCTAATTTGTTTTTTTTTTTCACAAGTAACAATCAATATATAAGAGATATATAAGGCGTTCCTTTAAGGTCTCAACTTTGTGCCCCATCATTGTATTAAGATCTCATTGTCTGTAAATCAACCAAATAAATTGAAACTGCTTTTTCAGCCAAAGAATTGATAAATTTGTTTTTTTTTTTAATTTTATTGCCCATACCATAATCTTGAAATCATTCATATATTCATTCTAAGTTCATTCTTTTTTTTTTTTTTCCCCTCTTTGTTTTTTTTTTTAGAAAATTAAAGTAATTTTGTTTTTCCTTGTTTTTCTAATGCTGCTGCGGCATAATTGTTTTTGATTCTTTAACCTCAATTGATGAACACAACATTCCAACAATGTGACGGAAGCCCAGAACCAAACCTAAGACCTACTCTCCATTCCCTTTAGCAACATGATCACGGGGGTGTCGGTACGTTTTCCTAATCTCTTGTCAGAAGAGGAAATAATCAAGAGAAGGAGGATCAAACTGGCTTGAAACTTGACGAAAAAAACATTTCTCTTGGCCCGCTGCTTATCCATGATCGAGAACAAGACAATACGACCTATAATTGAATTGGAGCATCATTTTTTCATCGCCTGCTTTAGCTAGTTTCTCACTCCTTCCTCTGTCACTATATACACATCAGGCTGACAGTTCCACCTCCCAATTCAATTATGATTTCAAATAATTAAAATTTTGGTTTCTTCTTCTTCTTCTTCTTCTCCTACAAATATCAGTTCTAGTGGGTGGACAATCAATTATATCAATCTTAAATCTCTTTAAATATTTAATTTAAAATTAATTGATAATAAATAAAAAAAATTTAACTTAAATATATATATAAGATTATAAAAAATTTAAAATTTAATAAACATAAGATAATATTACTTTAACATATAAACATCAAAGTAAACAAGATTATTATATGATAAAACATGTGACCAACTTAATAAGAATATAAAGCAAGAAAAATATAAATAAAAACCAAAGCTTTAGTATTATGTTGAACATTTAATTTAAAATTAATTAATAATAAATAATACATTGAATTTGAATATAAAATTATAAAAAATTTAAGATTTAATCGGTGGATAATAAAAATCAATTCTAGAGTTGAAGAAGTACTAATGTGTAAATTTTTGGCGAGCAGAGAAAAATGATCAAAGGCAATTGTATTAGCTGTATGTCAATTCAATAGGGTGATGAGTGAGACCATTAAACGCGGTGACCCTCCAGCCACGAAAGTGTTTTACATCAAGAATATTTTATTTCCTATATTATATATACAAATATAAGTAAAGCGATGCATTTAAACTTGCGAATAAAGTTATAAACCTCTAATTAATTACCTTTTTAGGGTTTAAAATAATGCATGAAATGGCTTCTTTTAAGAATTATTCGACGGCACGACCAAGGCTGCCTCTCTAAGTGGAGATTATGCAACTTTTCTTTTCTTTTCTTTTCTTTCTCCTAAATGGGTGGGGTTTGTCCACTTAATTTGAAGCTCCTGTTCTTTAAGTATTCTTTGAAAAGCATGATTAACTCTGCAATTAGCAGGGAATACTTGACGGCCAAGGTCACAGGCAACTTCTTAGTTAACTTCGCAGCATCAAACAAGTATATATTAGGTCTAGAAAGGTGTTTAGTTGCAGACTAAGATATAATATCTTTGAAATTTAAATTTTAATAATATTCTTTTTTTTCTTTCATAAACCGTAATTTAAGAAAAAATAAAAATCTTCAAAGAGTTATTTATCAATCCAAGGTAGCCTTGGGAGAAAGGAATCGATGGAACAGTTATTATTTCTTAAAAAAAAAAAAAAAAAGGGGCGGAGGTTCGGAAAAAGATAGAAGTTTTCAATAGTAAGCACAGAGAAAATTGATGGTTCATTACAGGAGCACTTGAGGAGAAATCGTAGTGGGGGTCCTTTCTGAGAGAGGGTTTTAATGATGAAATTTGAAACTAAACAAAAGTCGAGAACTCCCCCATTTCATTTTCCTTTTCTGTTCTCTAATATGATCCGCTCGTTTGGTCACCAGATGAACCGGAACTCTATTATTTTCTTTTTATTATTCTCCCATGTGTTATTAAAAAGTTGGTTTGAATAGCAAATTTATATTTATACAGGATAAAAACAAAGCCCAACCACCCATCTATCCTAAACATAAGTGACCAATCCTTGATTCCCAAGAGTACTTTGTGTAGTTTTTGTGTGGAAATGGTTCCTACATTCTCTCTGCTCAAGTGGGGAAATTAAAAATCAACAAGAAATGGGCACTTTACTATGGTTCATAATTTCGTTCCACCTTACAGCATATATTATGGATTATATTACACCTGAGAGCTAGAGTGCGAAAGTTCCTGTAGATTGTGGAGTAATGATTGCATGTGAGTGGTTTGACCATCAAGTGCTGGATTCTGTCAAACAAGCTTTTATTATTATTAGCGTTTATTTTGTGGCACAAACTTTGGGATCGAGACGTGGCAGCTGAGTAGAAGATACTCCACATGATTCTCGATGAGAACTATCAAGAGCCATTCATTCCTTTCTTTTCCCCATCCTTCAACTTTTTCATGCCAATAGCCATGGCCTAGCTATCAACCTTTTTAAACAAAATGCCAGCTATATGCAGGAAGCAGCAATCCAAAAGGTCACTAGAAGCTTCTCTCTGCTTCGTTTTTACAGGAAAACACATGGCTACAGCCTCTTTAAAACAGATAAAAGTGGTTCTTCCTGCACTCTAATGTAGTACCGATGAAGAAAGAATTTCCATGTATGAATGTGGAATGATCTTAAAATGCATTTTCATGGATGATACTGCCACTGATATATGCTTTTTGATGACAAGTGGGAGAAAAGGTCTATGAACGATGTATGTACACGCAGCGAGAGGAGTTCAGCAATACATCCGCATGCAGAGTTGGTTAAATGTATTGGTCAGACATACTTCATAGCCTAAAAAATACTGTAGTAGAAAAAAAAATGACATTTAGCACATGCTCCAGGGACAAGGAATATGTAAGAAACGCGTAAAGGCATAAATCGTAGTATTAACTGTTAAACCAAAAAAATATAGAATCAAATGGGATTATAGCAAAGCAATTGATACGTCACTCAAGGCCATAAGCCAAACCAACTAACCATTACTTTGTTTAGTTATTTATTCAGCAGATGATATAAGCTATATGAATTAAACAACTTCATCTCCTAAAACCAATTACAACTCAAATCGCCAACTTTTAGTAGACAAAAATCAAAGCTAACAACTCTTCATAACCAATAACCTTCCAAGGGGCCATGCTAAACCAAGGCAGATGGTGGCATTCCCCACCAGACTCTTAATGATTTTTCTTTAAACTATAAATCAATTATCTTTCTTATAAGTTTCTGAAGAAATTCTGTATTTTATCCTCAAGGCCTCAATACCAAATTTAGAAATTTGTTTCCATCTCATGTTTTTAATACTATTAATGGTTCATGTATTCCCTCAAAAATGTAAACTCCTATAATTTAGTTTATCATTGAACTTCTCTAATTAGCTTGTGGAGCAAAATACTATCCTCTTTTTTTTTTTGCCTTTGTTAGCTGGAAAAATGACAAATTTCCACACTTTGTGGTTAATTCCCATAAACACAACACTCTATCTGCATCAATTTAACACAGGATAAAACAATTTAGTAAGAAAAATATTAAACAAAGATTAGAGTTAAAGACTAATTTCTATTAAACTTGAAATGGGTTTTTATTTTCAATCAGCAGAAAGGCATGTGGACTATGGACAAAGTATTCCACACAATCATTATGCCTTCCCAGCATTACATAAACCCACCCCTAGAAAGAAGTGTGAAAAGAAAAAAGAAAACCCAAAAGGAAAATCAATTGCTATAGCCTTTCAAAATGCTATTGCTTCTGCCTAAACAACTTTACTAAATTTTCAATCAGCAGGAGCTGTAACATTATGCACAAGACACGTGTATAAAATTTGTCAACTGGCAGTTTTTTTTTTTCTTCTTCTTTTAGAGATGCACAAAAGCATATTAAACCATCCATGACAGTGAACACAGAAAGCAGAAACTTACATTGAGACGCAAGCGAGACAGAGACAAGTTATTGAAGTTCAGCTGCTAATTCAAATAGGAATACAAATATATCATATTAAAGTTACTTAATTTATTCAAATTAACAAGGGATAATTACTGTCTAGGAGTATTGCGCCAAACAAAAAAGACAAGGATCAAAGACTATCTTGCAAATATGCTGAGGTAAACACAACCAATGCACAGATAGAAAGACTTAATAAAAGACCTGCAGGAATCAGTTTCCGAGTAGCTGCCAATCGTATCCCTAAAACAGTAACCAGAGAGGGGAAATAAGGATAAGACCTCAAATTCCTTATATTGATGTTTATTGAACTGACATGAAATGAATCTAAAATGCATGCAGCATGGTCATCACCCAATATGATCAAAAGTAAAAGTACAAAAAATTTGAAAATAAAACATACCAAATACAGAGGAGAAAAGGAAGGCTGATCCAAAACCAAGGGCATCGCCAATTGCTTTTGTCTCTGATGCTTGCATAAGAAAATAGGCCTGAACAGGAAACCCAAATATTACCCACAAGTATAGCATTTTTACAATAGAATAACTTCTATTTTAAGAGGAGACCAGGTTTTCGCAGACAAAGTAAATTTTAAATGATCATTGTAGCAATAAACATGAGAGTGCAACAAAAATCAAGCAAACTGAAGTGAACAGGAGATAGCAGTAAGAAGTTGAATGGTGTTAGTTCTGATTAAATTACTTCCACATCATGTAAAGATCTTCCTCTGGAAATCCTTACAGAGCACAAAATTAAATCTTTCATTTGAACCAAGGACATAACATACAATGGTAGTTGTATTAATTTAGACAAACATTTTCACATGATTCATGATTCTTAGGAGGATGGCAAAATTAATAGTGGCTGAGATGTGGTTAACAGGAAAATTGAAAAATATGAAGAAGAATTTTAGCATTTCCGATGATTAATAAGATGATTACACTTGAAGATGCTATTATATTATAAGATCATAAAGAGGTAATTCATAGATGGAATAAGATGTTTAACCATATGATTATTTATTCAATCTTGATGAAGTGGAGTGGGATGTGAACCTCACTCTTCTCAAGAATGACCTTAGGTTATTCCAATCGAAAATCAATGTGACTGAAGATGCAAGTAAAAATTTGGAAATGTTAATGCTTCAAATGGTAACAGGAGTGAAAGATTAAATAAATAACAAGAAAAGAAAGAATTATGAAGGATGAGATGGAGGACAATCAAGTACCCCACAAAAAGAGGAAGAACCAGATGCTAACTCTTTTATTTTCCCAAGGTCAAAAGTTAACTAATTATACTATCTACCCGAGGAGTGCATAAATGAATAGCACTCAATTCACGTAACCATAAAATGTTTAGTTACTTGAATGGTATAACTCTTTGCTCAGAAGATGACTAACCGAATGCTTATGTAGACCGCATCATGGTTACAGATTATCATTCACATTAATGTTAATTAGAGGGTTGTGTCTACAATTACAAAAGTGAACTATTGAGCAGCATTATGCCATCAAGTAACAGCAGTCTACTTATCAACTTTAATATTGAGTTATGACCCAAAGTGAAAAAAGTACATTTAACCAGATATTAAACTAAAAACATACACAGAATCCAAAAAGTTGTCAAGTAATTGTTCATCAAAGGCCCAACTAGTGGTGCACTAAGCACTTGAGAGTCATCAAAATGAGGCATATGTACTCAAAACATGATTTCTGAAGATGGTAAATGCAAGCCAAAAAAAAGTGTCTAGGAACAGAAGAACATGCCTCAAGTAATATGGAGATTTTAAGAAATGACAAATGGAGATTTAGTTGAAATAAGAAGAGAAAGAAAACCCAAAAACTTTGGTAGACAAAAACTTTGGTAGATATCATACGAGACAAACAGTTTGTGTTAATATACAACTGCAAACACTAAAGAAAAACCGAAGGGAGGTCCAAGACTGGCGGAGCTCACATGTGTAAAAAGAAATCCAACTTTTAGTTAACAAATTCCAGAAAAAGAAACATACTCACAAAACCAAATCTAGATTTGTACTATGAGACAGTGATAAGACAACAATCCAATGGTGTCTTCCAAATGAAGGTTTCAACAAGATTTTCATAGTTGCATAGTAAATGATAATAAATCTCAAAAGATCCTACAGTAAGACCAAAGAACAATTTACCCCATATGATTTCAACATAATTACTCTGAGCAACCACTTAGAAGAGAAAAACCCAAGGATATCGACATTATTGGAGGAGTTATAATGAAGCACAGTAATGGTGGGATCCATCTTTCAATGAACATTAAAAGTCAATGAGCAACCTTAGGATTTAGAAATGGAGGATGAAAGGAACAAAATGTCTGTTTCTAGGGAATAAAGTAGAGAATTAATGGGAGCAGTGAGACAAATTACATGATGATTATGATACGACCCATGTAAGCCAAAACAAAGTCAGCAAGGCGATAAAGCAAGCAACACAAGCTCACAATCACAAATTATTAATAATTGGAATAAAGCTTAGTTGAGTGAACCAAAACTAACAATGGGTTTGATTTTCTGTTTATACAAAAAAATGCAGAAGAAATTGATATAGTAAACATACAGATGTCATAAGAGCAGCTCCGGTGAGGCCTCCAAAAAGCGATCCCTTACTCCCTGATTTAGAAACTAAAAGCAAGTTTCGAATTGCAAATTATGTTACTAAATTTGGTAAATTTTTGAATTGTTGATAAATAAAAAGGAAAGCAAATAGAGAGATGTTAAAGCAGAGTAGAGTACAGGCAAAGAGACCGCCAGAGAATAGAAGGATTCCATAGGCAGCGGAAGTTACTGGGGCAAAATCTGCTAGCTGGGATTTGCAGGGAAGCCTTCTTTTAGACCTGGAATGGGATTTTGGTTTTCTCAAACAAATGCCGACCACATGAATGCTTTTCCCATTTTGATGATTTACGGATGGAAATTTTGGATGGTCGTTTGAATTTGAGGATGAGGCACCCTTGGCTGCAGCAATTGCAGGCATTTGAATTACTAATGGTGCCACAGAGAACGTCATCATCTCGATTGGTCGGTTTCTGTTTCACTTCCAGTCCCCGCCCTCGTCAAAATCCAGATTAGGAACTTTCAAAAAAAAAAAAAAACTGTGAATTAAATTGCATCCATTTTTGGGCCTTCTTGGATTGTGTTTGGGGGTGTAAATTTTTCGTGCCCATGATCCATGAATCCTGCCAATTTTGAGCTGGGCTCTATCTGTCCAACATTTCGAATTCAAACAGCACAGGCACTTTTCTCATCAAATAAATAAAACAAGGGCACGCGTTTTAATAACATCCCAATTGGTCAATCGGCCATTAAATTGCGGCGACCAGCGTTTTATTAGTTGAAGGGGTTGGATGTTGGATTTTCTGTTTCAGATTCAACCGATCCAATGTTCAATCGACATTGGCCCAAAAAATATGTTGAATCGACTGATTCAATTGTATGCTTTAATTACGTTTTAAATGTATTGTTTATCATCAAATATATATTAAATGAAATGCTGTTTTGTGATATTGATTAAAGTGATATTAAAAAAATAACATATAATTAATATAGTATTTACTTTTGAATTTAGTGAAATAATCTTGAAATCATTCATATATTATTTAAAAGATCCCATTTTAGGGGTCGCCCAGTAAATTTGTTGTCCTAAAAAGTTGATGATTTAATTTACGTACCCTAAATTTCCACACCAATGTTTCCTTGCTCCAATTTAGGGGCACATAGTTCGGGGCACGCCCCCCTGATTTTTGACTTTGCAAATCTGCTTACAAGAAAAAGGAAAAATAATGTAGCTGTTTATAAACAATTGCAATTTTCAAAGCATACCCCAATCAACATGGTTGTCACCATCAATTACTTAGTAGTGGTAGTCTTTGCCTTGTGAGAACGGGAAGTCGATGGAAGATATTTTCTCCTTAATTGTTTGAATGATTTGAGAAGCAGAAGGCCTAACGCTGGCAGACTGGTGAAGGCAAAGTGCAGCAATTGAAAGCATAGCCCTGACTTCCTCCAAGTCAAACTCTCCAGCTAGGCGTGGATCCACCAATTCTGCCACTTTCTCCTCCGCCCCACGCTCAGCGATGTCTCTTAAATTGGGTGCCACTATTGATGTCAATAGTTGTCCCCTTTCTGTACAAAAGGCCTCCATTCCGGTAACTAGTTCCAAAATAACAACGCCTAAGCTGTAAACATCGTTCTTTTTGGAGGCGAACCCAGTCCTCAAATAAAGTGGATCAGTGTAGCCTGGTGAGCCTATCATTACTTGCTTCGTCCGGGAACAAGATGGCGGCATCACCGTAGAAGAAAATCCCATCATTGCTGACCCGAAATCGCAAAGCTTGCAATTAAAACGCTCGTCTAGCAATATATTAGAAGCTTTGATGTCGCCATGAACTATTTGGAGGGTGCATTTCTCGTGCAGGTATTCGATTGCTTGAGCAAGTTGGAAAGCTATGGCCGTGCGGGTTTTCCATGGAAGTACTTCCCTTTCCCTTTTATGTAGTTTCTCTTGCAAGTTTCCATTAGGGACGTACTCAAATACCATGGCCCCTTCCTCTGGACACAAACAAAAAAATAATTAAAAAGTTACAATAACTATTCATTTCAAAAGTAACAAAAAAACTCTTCTTTTTCTTTTTAAAGAGTAAAGCAAAGGACTCACTCAACGCACCTAGATCATCGCAGTAACCAAGAAGCTTAACGATGTTTTCGTGACGGATTCGGAGCAAAATATCCACTTCCTGTTTGAAGACTTGGTTTAGTCGATCACTACCAACATGGATCTTAACTGCTCCTAGACTGGAACCAGACAAGTTAGCCAAGTACACATTGCTAAACCCTCCCTGACCAATCATACGGGAGAAATCCTTAGTCACATCCTTAATCTCGTCCCATCTGAATTTCCTGACAAACCCTTCACCTTCAACGTCAGAATCTTTTCCCTTGGTTTGAACAGGTTGAGCGGTTGACGTGTGTTTACCGCCTCTGAGTTTCCTGAGTTTAAGGAACATGAACAAGAACCACATCGCGAACAACAATGCAAGAAGCAAGACAAGGGAAACAGTGATGAGAATAGCGGTTTGAGGGTGAACGTGCGGTTGGGTTGTTTTTAAAGGGCGTGTCGGCGGATCACTGGAAGTGTGAGAAACAGTAGAAGGTACGGGGTGGGAAGCCACGCAGAAACTGAGTTGAGAAGATAAAAGGAGCATCGGTAGTAATAAAAAAATGGATGGGATGGACCAACAACGCCAATACCAGCAGACAAATTTAAAAACACCTAAAATCCATTCCCTTCTAACCTTAGATTTGGCTGTAGTCAAAGCTGTAGCCATGGGGACGTACATAATCCGACAAAGCTCGATCTAATATTCCGATCTAAGTAGAAAGAGAGAGGCAGAGAAGCTACGGAAGCCTACTAGGAAAGCCAGAGAAGCCATTCTGTTTTTGCCTAATAAGCCAGTTGGGTTTGACCGACCGGCTATAGAAAAATATAGTCAGGTCGTTTTAAAAGTATTAAACTAATTTTTATAAAAAATTTTAAAGGTTGAGAATTCCTTTTTTTTTTCTTTATTTGTTTCATTTAACAAAATTTAAATTTTATTAAAAAAAAAAAAAGATAGTGGCATGCCAACGCCAGGACCGAGCTCTAAGGATGATTCCCTCATTGAAATTGATTATTATAAAAAAAAAGTATTTGAAGAAAATAAAAATCAAATTATAATAATTGACTTTTGAATAATAATTAATCCTTTGTTTATGAAATAACGTTTCTTAATAAGTGTTCTTTAATTAACATTTGTTTATCTTAATTTAATGGAACATTAGAAGTTTTGCCATGAAAATGTTACATCCTTAGATGGTGTTTAGTTTAAAAATATATATATTTTTTTGTTTTATAGATAATAAAAAATGCGAGTAAAAACATGTTTCTTTGAAAAAATAAAAAATAATTTTTGGAAAATAGAAATGAAAATGGGGCGAAAATTGAAGAAAAAAATTTTTGAGTACTTAAAAAAAAATGAAAAACAAGTGGAAAAAATGAAAACACGGATCTTTTAAAATATTTTTATTTGTTCACTGAAACTACATAACATCCAAATTTGATTCATAATAGATGCAAAATTATTGGCTTTTTGGGTAAAAGCTGCAACAAGCCTATTTTCCTTTCTTGCTTCTAAGTTCTATGTTCTTTCTTTCTCTTCTTCTTTTGCCTCAACCGAGTGCCCATGTTAGCACTGATAATAATTGTTATTTTCTCTTCCTTTTTGGCCTTGCAAGCTTACCTATCAAGTTATCAAATTTGCAAGAGATGCCAAGCATCAAAAAATAGTAATAATAAAATAAAACTTGCAAGAGATCATACTGACAGTTCTCAAATTTCAGAAAATTTCATGCAAGCAACTTCATATAATTTTCATTCAGTTTTTTTTTTTCACAGAGCATCACAACTATAGTTTAAAAATCAAAGGTATAGATTTAAACCATACTTCATCTGTTGGTTGCTATGATTGGCATGGTACGAAATATTTCAATCATACTTTTTTTTTTTTTTTATGTTGGTAATATCTTGTTGAGAAAAATGCCAAGTTCACGGTCTTTCACGCTTTTTCTTGGTATTTTTATGTTTTATCCAACTAATAATTACATGTTTGTTTAATTTTTACACCTACTAACTGTTTTCATTTGTTAAAATTGCAGGATGAAACACTTTTAATCTGGATTTCAAGCAGCAGTGAAAGACGTTTGAATTTAACCTCGGTCTCTAAAATTATTCCTAGACGAAAAACTGTGAGATCTTTATGATTCTATTGTTACATACATATATAGTATATTATAATCTATTCTTTACTAGTTTTGTCACAATATTTTTGTTTTCATTCCTACTATGCATTTTTCTTTTGAATTATACTAATTTTCCTCTTTAATGCTCTATTAGGCTATTTTCCAATAGTGTCTTCATCCTGAGAAGTATTTATGGACACTCATTTTTGTCTGAAGTGCGATCAATTTTTTGATTTGAATCTTATCGGGATCGTTGAATATTTAAAAACTACTGCTACTACTACTACTATTATTATTATTATTAAAAAAAGTCAAAAATCTCAAGTACGGAATAAGGGATGTTTGAAATCAATCTTGAAATCTTGATTGCATGAAATTGGAAATAAAATCAAGGCATTGACTAAAATCATTTTTTAAAACCTAATCTCAAAGGATTAAACTAGTGATTGAAAGTGAATTAATACTTCCTAAATTAAAAGGAATTAAATCCTTTTATAAATTGGAATCGATAAACACACAAGAAGGGATTTGGGATTCGTCTTAGGTTACTTTCTTATGGATTCATGTTGTCTGAATATATTTTCAGTGATTATAGGAAGTTCTTTAGATTTTGGTTCTGAAGTCTTTGTTTTTCTGGGTTTGATTTATTTTCTGGGAACCCAATTTGAGTTTATGGGTTTGATTCCCCTTTTTGTTGGTTTCTGAGATTTCTGTTGGAATGTTTTATTTGTTTTGAGATCTTTTAACTTAAATTTGAAAGAAACTGGGTTTTTATTAAAAAAAATTGAGTTTTTTTGGGTTTAGGATAAATATTTTAGTAGTGATTTGAATTTTCAGGTGAAATTCACGGTAATTGGATTTTGGGTTCATCTGGTTTCTAGAAAATCTTGAAGTTTTCAATAGTTGTTTGAATTTCACAATGCTAGAAACTAAGATTTTTGGTTGAAATCTGAGATACTTTGAAGTTTTTAGTGAAAGGTCAGAGAAATATTTTTAAATATAGAGGGGAATAGGATGGCTTTTGAGGAAAGAAGCAAAATTTGGATTTTTATACGACATCAAAACGACAGCATTTTGAACAATCCTTACTCGTGCATGAACTCGTTGACCTACGCATAACCCATGTGTTGAACCTGACTCGATCATAGGTTTTTTTTTTTTCATTTATATTTTCATTTATTTTATTTATTTATAGATTTTCTTATTTATTTCATTTTACTTATTTTTTTAATTAAGTATTCTACTTATTTTTTAAAATTAAATGATTTAAGTAAATTTCGTTCCTTTTCTAAAATAATAATAATAATGTGTCATAAAAAATGTCTTTTTAAAAAAAATGAATTCATGAATCCTACCAAACTATTGGAGGCTTCTTTATGAATTTAAATTTTTTATGAATCCTATCAAACTATTGAAGAATTTGTATCTTAAATCTTACCAAACTAATGAAAGATTTAGTTTTTTTTTTTTAAAAAATAAAACAAATTTACAAAGAAATCTCACTAAACTATTAAAAGATCGACATTAGAATAAATCTCACCAAACTATTGAAAGATTTTACTGATTATTTCTTTAACAAAACTTTAAATGAAACCGATGATAGAGCTTCTTCAAAGTTGGACATGAGTCTCCACAAATACTCCTGAGGTGAAAAAATTATCTTAAATTGCTACCAAACTATTGGAATAATTTTAAGATTAATTTTTAATATTAAATATTTTGGTAAATCATAAATATGGTTAAGGCTTGGATAATTTGAAATCAAACTAGTATCATCTTTTGGATAGACGCTATGAGTGTGCTATAACTTTTCTCATGTGAAACCATACTCCCGAATCTGAAATATGATTTCGTGGACTAAAATTTACTATTTAAAGATACCTAGTCAATCTTGAGACTCCTCTTTTAATCTATATCTAGCGACAGGTCCATGGATCTATATGTTATGACACTTTGGTGACTCCGTTGGGAATATTAAAAGTTAGGCCAGTAAATAATTTCTTATTATTCAAGCCTAACCTAATAAATTTGAGATCTTTTTCTTTTTTCTTGCTTATATTTTATTTAGTTATTCATTTATTTGTTTTTATATATATGTCATTCACTTGCATATGTATAATATGAGCTCTACACCTAAGTTCTGTCCTTTAGGAGAAAGTAAAGTAACTACGCCTTCATAAAATTTCATGTTTTCGTATGGGCTAGTGAAATACCTCAACTCAAATTGGACTATTTATGCTTGTAACCTATAATGGGTGATGATTGAAGTACCTTACTAGTCTATGAAAGATGATGTAAGGAATAATTTAAGAATCCTTAGATTTTCAAACCTTTGAACCTGTCATGTAAATAAACCCTAAGAGTCTGAACCTAGGTTAGAACCATGTCTTTTCTTGTGTTAGAAAATCTTAAATAGGACACATGATTGAATATTTATTTTACTTGTAAACTTATGTGTTGTCTTTTTTGTGTGTGTATATATATATATATATATATTACATACTAACCCTATATATTGGTCTTTGTATCTATATTATCTTTAATTTTTAAGAATTTTTTAAATGAGAAAAATCTTTTAAAAAGTACCAAAGTATTATAATATTTAAAAAATCTTTTTAATACAAAGATTCTCTTTTTTTTCTTTCTTTTTTCTTACCTTTAATTTGAGTAATTTTTTTAATAGAAATAAAAATATCAAATATTTATAAAATATGCAATTTTTTAGAGAATAAATTTATTTATGGATAATTGTCTTATTGTATAACTTTTAGAGTGAAATATTAATAATTTTTTTAAAAATAAATTTTCGATGATGAGATTCTAAGAAAATTTAAATAGTGATTTCTAAGACATTTCTAGGTGAGAAAAGTTTTTTGAAATACTATCAAAATATTAGAGTATTTTAAATAATTTTCAATAAATTTTTTCTACCTTTCTTTGTAAAAAGTAAAAAAATGAATTTTTATAAAAAATAAAAATAAGATATTGTTTAAATTAAATCATGGGCATTACATCTTATTATATGCATTATAAATATTAATTTTAAAGATAAATATGAGCTGTCAAAAATGAAATTTTTAAAAAGTCAAAGTAATAATTTTTAAAAAATTCCTAAGTGAGAAAATTTCTTCTAATATTACCATGGAATATTTTGGGAATTGTTCGATATATAAGATTTTTGTTTATTTTTCAAATAAAAGATTAAAAAAACAAAAAGATATTTTTTGTTGTGATAAAGAAAATTAAAGAAATTATGTTTAAATATAAAAAATAAGACCACTTTTAGGAAGGTTAAGGAATAATACATTATTAATTAGTGTCGTATTTAAAATTGATGTAATGGAGGTGATAATTTTTGTTCACATGTAATTATACTTTTAAACTCGACTTTTATTTTCATAGATTAAAAAATTATCTTTTTAATAGTTTTTAATTAACTTTAAATTTTTATTAAAATGATAAATTTTTTAAGAAATCAATTATACTTAATAAAAAAAATTGATAATGACTTTCTCTATTTTGAAACTTTTAAAATATTCGTTGAACGATATCCAAAATTGTTATGACACTATTCATAACAATTCCTGTTTATATTTTTTGAAATGCAAAAAAGTTTTACCTCA